CTGCTTTTGTAAATAAAAGTGTATTTAGCTACAGTCATGCCCTTTGTTCACCTATCTTCTCTGGCCACTTTTGTGCCACAGCAGAGCCGAGTAGCTGCCACAGAGACCAGTGCCCAGGCCAGTCTACAATTTTACCATCTGGTTGTTCAGAGAAAAGTCTGCCGATACCTGACTGAAACACTGGAACGTAAGCTCACGGAGGCAGGGACTGTCAGTTTTGTTCACTGCCATACCTTCAGCACCAAGCAACCGAGCATGGCATCTAAGGAACTCTCAGTGTCCGCTGAATGAAGTACATATCACGATGGAGACTGAGCCACGTCTCTGTGTACACTGCTCCCTGGCCCTTCCTTCTCTGTGTATCCCCAAGATTACCTCCCACACCAGATACTCAACGGTTCCCAAGACATCCATCCCTACACCAGCTTCCCTGTGGTCCCCAAGATACTCTTGACACAGGGTACCAATATCCTCCATGTCGGCTGCCTCATGATCCCCAAGGCAGCTAACACACTGGCTGCCCTGTCACGACCCCTGCCAATCCATACCTCATACTCAATGGCGAGATCTGTGTGGTCATCAATGTCCACCTTGGCCATCACGACCTTCCCATGCTGCTTGGCCACCATCTTCTCTAACCTCGGCCCTAGGATCTTGCAGGGGCCACACCACCTCAGAGGGGAGAAGGGAAGCATCCAGTTAGTCACAAGCACTCACACCCCAGCCACTGTCTCCCCAGAACCACCGCGGCCCACATCCTTCTTCCCGAGGGGCCATCTGCCCCCTTCTCGCTCTGTTTGCAGTGTTTGAACAGTAACCTGTGGAGGTCACGTGCCAACTGATCACACCAGGAGAGTGCAACTGGGCCATTTCCCCAGGTTCCAGCTTCCACAACACAGGCCTCTTCCCGAGACTCTCCTAGAGGTTATTCTACTGATTTCGATACATATAAGAGACATACACTGTCACCTAGAACATGGGACCTGAAGTTAAAGGATCTGAGTTCAAAGACAGGCTCCTCACTCAGCTCCCTGTTCTGGGGCCTCACTTTCCTCATCTGAATGGACACGATGCCTCTCAGAGTTGTCAGAAGGAATCAGTTAAGGCAAGATGGACAAACGAGCTTTGTAAATTGCAGTTACTTCAAATAGATCACATAGATGGTGGACTAAGGGAAAGGTACAGCTATGGCCAGGGAATACCAGTCATGGTGTGGGGCACATTCCTCAGCTGTTTTTCCTACTGCGATAAATACGTAGGTAACAAAACATTAAGGAGCCCTGGTGGTACAATGATTTAAGAGCTCAGCTGCTAACAGAAAGTTGGTGGTTCGAACCCACCAGCTATTCGATGGGGAAGAAAGACCTATCAATTTGTTCCTGTAAAGATTACAATGGAAATCTTATGGGGCAGTTCTACTCTGTCCTATGGGGTTGCTATGAGTTGGAATTGACTTGACAGCCCACCACAACAAAACAATTGCCATTTCAACATTCTTAACACGTCCAATTTGGTGAGATTAACAGTAGTTATGTTGTGCAACCATCACTGTGATCCGTTTCCAATTTCTCCCATCACCCTTAACAGAAGCCAGAAGCTCACTAGCTCCTATGCAGTGAATCCCCTTAAACCACTCCCTTCTGTCCACCTGTGGTAGCCACTAATACCTTTAGGTCTGTCAACATTTGCCTGTTCTAGATCTTTCATGTACGTGGAATGAACATTCCCAGCTCTCACTGCACAGAACCCTCAACCCCACAAAGGGAGAGAAAGCATCCTCCGGAGAAACTGAGGCCTAAACAAGTTAAAAGCATGCCCAAGATCACAGAGCTCGTAAGATGCACAGCTGGGATGGTGACCTAAGCGTCTATCCAAAGTCTGCTCTCTCACCCAGGTCACTGTGTGACCCCACAGCCCCTGTGCATCCACTGCTGCCCTGATCACCCCGGACACAGGTGCTGCCCTCTAGGAGGGGAGCTCTTTAGCACAGGCACTCCATTGTGTCGGGAGCAAAGAAGAGTGACGAAAATCAAAGATGCAAGGCAACAATTAGTCCAAAGGACCAATGGACTATACAAACCCTCTCCTCCACAACCCAGAGACCATAACAGCCAGATGGCACCTGGCTACCACTGCTTCATGCACATGGCACCAAAGACAGTGGCCAGTCCTGAATGAACAAATTCACACTTGGCTACCATTCACTTTGGAAGTCCTCTCTGGAGGGTTCACCATACCAGAAGGACCTCCAGAGATGGCAATCAGTAAACACACATCACCTAAGTACCCAGCCTGCAACCCACAAAGGCAGTGTTCTCCATCCTACTTTGGTGAGTAGTGACTGGGGTCTTAAATCCTTGTGGGTAGCCATATAACGTGCAACTAGTGGTCTTCCCCTGTCTGGAGCACAGAAGAATGAAGAAAGTCAAAGATGCAAGGAAACAATTAGTCCAAAGGACTAATGGACCACACGAACCCCATTCACCACAACACAGAGACCAGAATAGCTAGATGGAGCCCAGCTACCATTGCTCTGAACGGGATTACAATAGGAGGCCCTGGACAGAGTGGGAGAAAAATGTGGAACAAAACTCAAAATCATAAAAAGGACCAGGCTTACTAGTCTGATAGAGGCTGGTGGAACTTCTGAGACCGAACTCACCTTGGCTCAACTTTCAGTTCAACAGCAGACAGGAAAATAAGATGAACGATAATACCATGGCTGTAAGCATTCCTGGGAGCTCTGGTGGTGCAGTGCCAAAGGCATTTGACAGCTAACCAGAAGTCAAACCCACCAGCCACTCCTCGGAAGGAAGATCAGGCAATCTACTTCTGTAGTGATACCTCCTCGGAAACCCAAGGACGGGTCGCTATGAGTTGGATCCAACTTGATGGCAGTGAGTTTGGTTTTTTTGTAAGGATTCCTTAGAACAATCAATAGTATGAGATCAAAAGGGCAGCATTTGCCAAACAATAAAGCTCAGAAGGCAGGAAGGATAGGAAAGAAGGATGAAGGAACCAGTAAACACAGAGAGGAAGTGGGAAGAGTGCTATGACATTACAAAGATTGCAATGAATTCACAAAGCATGTGATGAATTCACAAAACATGTGTATGACCTGTTGAATGGAAAACCAATTTGCTATGTGAACTTTCTCCCAAATCACAATAAAATGTTATAGTTAAAAAAAAAAAGAAAAGAACAAACCCAGCCTGCAAGACCTTGTCTCTTATTACAAGTGAAAAAAGGGAGGCACAAGGTCAACAACTGGCCTGTCCAAGGCAACAGAGTGAGTCGGAGAAAGAGCCCAAAGAGGGAAAAAGAATCTGCCAGAGGTTTGCCTGGAAAGCCTCCCAGCTTCTAATTCAAGCTGCATTGGCTTCTCTCAGGATAGTTCATTTGGAGGAGTTTCTCTGCCTCTTTTTGGTAGCCAGGCCTCCAAAACCTCTAAATGAAGGAGGCCAAGCTAAAAATCAGAAGGTCATGGGTTTAATCTGTTACTGTTGATTCTGACTCACAGTGACCCTAGAGGATTGAACAGAACTGCACCATAGGGTCCAAGGCTGTCATCTTTATGGAAGCAGATTGCCACATCTTCCTCCTGCAGAGTGGCTGATGGGTTTGAACTGCTGACCTATCAGTTAGCAACCAAGTACTTAATTACTGAGGCACCAGGGCTCTTCCACAGGCATTTAAATACCCCTAAAACAAACTCACAGGAGCTCTGGTAGCATAGTGGCTAAGGCACTTGCCTGCTAACCAGACGGCTGGCAGTTCAAACCCACCAGCCACTCCTCGGAAGGAAGGTTGGGCAATCCTACTTCCGTAGTGATACTGCCTCGGAAACCCAAGGAGGGGGCGCTATGAGTCGGGGTTGACTCGACGGCACATAACAACAACAACAAAACAAACTCACAGCACTGAAAAGAAATGCCTGCCCAAATCTGCGAGCTCAGGTGCCACCATGGTGTTATAACTTTTCACCAACCATTCCCATGATTTTGGTGGCAAGACGTTAAATAAAACCAACTTATTTAAAGGGCCAGGAACTGGTATGTGCCAAAGGCCAGTGAACACTCTAGTCACAGCCCTCCTGCTTTGGGCCAAGATGAAGATGACTCTGAGACATTCAGGCAGTGAGAAACAGACCATAAGTCCACCCTTGGACTAACCACAGGGAGCGTGATTGTGTTTATAACTTGCTTCCTGAGGACACTGGTAGTTAAGAAGTAGAATTCTCACTTCCTGGTGGGAGACCAAAGTTCCATTCCTGGCCAACGCACCTCATGTCAGTGGAAGCTTGCATGTTGCTAGGATGCTGAAAAGGTTTCAGGGGAGCTTCCAGACTAGGGAAGAAAGGCCTACTAGGCTCCATCCAAAAATTACCCAGTGAAAGCCCTATGGATACCAATGGTCTGATCTGCAACCAATCACAGGGACAGCATGCTTTGTCTCATTGTAAATGGGGCTGCCTTAAGCAAGGGCCAACCTGACAGCAGTAAACAACAGCCCGTCTCCTACCAGACTGCACTCTCCTTGAAAGCAGGATGTCCTGCCAGTCAAGCATGGTACTGAGACAACAAGCACTCTATAAACATGAGAACGAGTGAGACCCCAGTCTTCCACTGCCCCCCAGGACTCACTGTGCATGGAAATCCACAACCACTGGTGTTTCACTGTTGACAACTCGGTCTTGAAAGTCAGGCCCATCCTGGATGTTAAAGGTTGTGGTACAGACTCTGGTGGTGTGTATTGTTCGGGCTGGGCTGGGTGTTGTTGCCAGGCCACCAGGATGGCCCTGTGGGATCTGTAGGGCCCTTGAGGTGAGGGGTGCCCAGTGGCCCTGAGGGGGCTTCCTGGAGATGACTGAGGCCAGGAACCTCCCCAGGAGAACTCGCTGAGCCATCTGTGAGAGGAAGAAGAACAGGGGCAGAAGTCAACACACTAGACAAAGAAAGAGATCTGGGAGTACTGCAGGCTCAAAGACATGCAGGAACACGCAAGAGAGATAATGCAACTGATTTCTGGGGTAGAGGTGAGGGAGGGAGGATTGAGAATCAAAGAGAAGAAGGAGTGGCAAGCTTGAAAAACAGGAGAAATTGGGTTGACAACCAAAATGAAATCAAGATATCAACGAGAGCACAACAGAAGGAAGAGAGGAGGGAGGAATGAGTATTTGCTGAGCATCTACCAAGGGTCAAGGGACTTAGTTACATTACTAGTCCTTGTCCTCCCTGAGCAAAACAATCTGCCAGGTATTTGCCCAGAAGGCCTCCCAGCTTCTAACTAAGGCTAAGCTAGCTCCTCTCCAGTTAAACACACACCAACTTTGAGAAGTTGCTAGATTGCCCATTTTATAGATAAGGAATCTGAGGCTCAGGTAGATTAAGTGACATGCATGAGCGAAGTAACCTAACTCTTAAGTAAGAGTTAACACTGGAACATAAGGCTGTCTGCAAGACAATACAATTGTTTTTTATTGTAAAGTGTTTGTAATGGGGTTGTCCACGTATCAGGAAAGGGAACCGCAACGACTCAGAGGAACTAAAAGGCACAGAAATAGGAGTGTAGGGGAACTAAAAGGTCAGGGACATGTGCGTGGAAAGAACTAGAGACTCAAACGCCACCAGGGACCTCGGCTGGCCGTAGGGCCAAGTCCCCCCTCCCAGGCCTCCGCCTGCTCGGCCGCCGAGCAGCGCAGGTACGCGGCCGCAGCATGCCTCAAGCGCGATACTATCTGGAGCCACCCCACACACGGGCCGCCTACCTCCCTGCAGCTTGAGCGGAGGAAGCACAGCCCGGCCCTCCCCGCCCGTCAAGGGCACTCCTGCCGTCACTTCCTCAGGGGCGGGCCTTTAGCGTCATTTCCGGGGACAGGCAACCAGGAACGCGTCTGGCTTTTCTGCCAATGTGGATGGCGAGAGAAGGCATAGCTACACGACTCCGGCCGAGATTCGAGACAGGAAGAGGGGCGGGCCCTCCGAGAGGAGGGACCGGAAGGGCAGGCGGGCCCAAGAGGAAGAACGGGAAGAGGCGGGCGAGCCGGAAGGGGCCGGAAGAAGCTGTGGAAGGAGGCGGGGCACCTAAGAAGGGTCCAAGGGAGAAGGGGGCGGGTGGGAGGCGTGGCTGTGGTTGCCAGGGAATTTGCAAACAGCTGTCGCTTTACTGAAGGAGCTCCGGTAGCACAGTGGTTAAGGCATTGGGCTGTCAACCACAAGCTGCGCGTTTGGAACCCACCAGCCACTCACCGGGAGAAAGATGAGGCAGTCTGCTTCCGGGAAGATTTACAGCCTTGAAAACCCTGCGGATCAGATCTACGTTGTCCTATAGGGTCTCTATGAGTTGGAATCGACCCCATGGCAGTGGTTGTTTTATTTT